CTATTTACAGATATATTTGGACATTAGTCTCCCCTCGATGGTCATTACCTCGGACCATCGCTGGATACAAGCATTCAATGTACAATTATTAGCAGCATTTCCTATAGTTGACGCCCACAGACCAGCCATATCGTTATGATCACGTACACACTCCAGGGCAGGGGTCTCCAACCTGTAGCTAGGGAGCCGTTAGCAGCTCGCCACCCACTTCCAGGTAGCAAATAAAATAATATACCTAATTTCAGATAGTAACTACTAGTAAAAATATGTGATGAAAAATAATGATTGTACCCAAAATCAGGCTCTTTCACGCCAAGATATCACCAATTTTTTGCCAGTGCGGTTTGAAGGAGTAGCTCTCTGCCTTTATTATCCCGGGAAAGTAGCTCTCTGGGTGAAAAGGGTTGGAGACTCCTGCTCTAGGACATTCAATAATAATGGTGGAAAAAGTACTGGTTTTGGTAAAAGTACAGGCACAAGAGCAAAAACAACAGACTTAAAAGGTATACAGAAGGATTTTTTACTATAAGACGATTGGTCCTCCCAGCTGTCAATCATTCCGGTGCTCGTCCAATCAGACCAGAGAGTTTAGTTCAAAAAAGTGGAGAGGGCGGTTCTTTCCTAAAATTTGTGAAAACTCTTTTAAACCTTTAAAGAGCGACTGAACACCTGTGCCCAGCCTTACTCCGCCCACATGAAGATTTGAAAATTTTCTCTAAAAAGGGCGTTGCCTGGAGGACTAAGGGACAAGAAGGGGGGCTTAGAGTTGGGCGTGGTCTGGGCTGTGATTGACAGCTCACTTGTCACACAAAAAAAAAACAGACAGTTGTCATTGCTGCTTAAAGCAATAGTTTACAGACCAGAAAGTCTCATTCCACCCTTGTTTACACACTAAGATAATTGTAAAGCTACACACCTGAACCTAATCACACTCAATAATCTCAGAATGACTCATGTAATTTAATTTTAATCCACTAGATGGCGCCAGAATACTCCAAACTGCAGCTGGGGCGTGTGTGAGAGTTGGATGGGTTTGTATCACTGGCTCTGACAGACTGACGTCACACAAAACAACTGATGTCATAGAGAACTTCAGAGTCAATGGAGAGGCCAGGACCAAATTCAAATGTAGTACCACCAAAAAGGTTGAGAGGGCGCCACAAAGCGTTTTTTGGCTCAAAAGTGATATTTTATCTAATTTTAACTAAAATGTCAAAAAAATGACCAGGATATGTAGACAGCACTACAATAAACATACTTATGCAGTTTATGAGTCAAAAAAGTTGATTTGGTGTTTAGTCGCTCTTTAAGTTAAAGTGAAAAATCTGTGTAAAACTTCTTCGATATCGGACTTAAACTGGGGCACCTAACTTTCACACCATCAAAAATGTAAAATTATCATAACATCTGTAGTTCCTGGTTTCTGTCTCTGTTTGGACACATCACTAGTTTGTTTTTTTTAGGCCCAGAGAGTCAAATAGTGACTCACAGGGCTCTTTTTATTTTTTACATCTAACCCAAAATATTTTTTATAATTTAAAATGAGGACAAAATGTTGCTTGGTCCACACATAAAGAAAAATAATAAAATACTATTAAAGCCTCAGAAAGCGGCTGATTTGGTCAAAAACATTCTTTAGTGGTTTTTAATTTAGATGTTTTTTTTGGGGGGGTTTTTGATGTGACCCATTGCAGAAAATACACTGCAAAAAATGATGAAATTTGGTAAAACTGCTTCATAAATTGAGTAGATTCTGACTTTCTTTAGGGCACAGTCAGATTATACTTTTTTCCCAACTTGGACCACTTTTTCTACTTTTTTTCGCAACTTTTTGTAATAAAACCGATTCTAACGAAGTAAAGTCAATATTCTTTCAGCCCACAAGAGTAGTTTGTCTCCTGCTCTCCCACGCTCTGGAGTAACATCATTAAATGTCCCCACAGTAAAACCCTGGTCTGTAAAGTTTTTTCTTAAGTGCCGTTTCCAGATCAGAGCGGAGGCGTCATAAAGCGACGCTGGACTGCCGGGTTTTGTCCTTCTGTCCTTGATCATTTTGAAAGGCCCGGGAGCGGCGGAGAGGGAGAGCCACCGTTGCGTGGTTTGAGGTATTTCAGTCATTGTGGTTTTTTTGTGTTTTTCCAAAAGTTCGTATGAATCAGACGCTGCGGTAAACAACAGACCATGGCACAATCAAAACTCTTACATAAAAAAAAAATGAAAAAAAAAAAAAAAAACATGTATTCTTTAAACCTCGGGTCTCCAGCCTGTAGCTCACCAGCCCCTTCAAAATAAAACTCAGGATAAGATAATTTAGTTTGAATATAAAAATACCTACTGATTTGGTTCTTCTATACCAGACCATGCACTGCAAAAAGGTCAAAATAAAATACTGTTAAAGCCTTGGAAATAGTTGCCGTCATAAAAAAAAAAGCTGCGGATTTGGTCAAAAACATTCTCCAGTCGTTTTTTTTTTCCATAGTTTTTTGTGTTTTTGATGTGCCCTATAGCAGATAATACTCTGCATTTTTTTTATGAGCCAATATTTGCTTAATAAATGGAGTACGTATTAAGCAAATATGTACTGCAAAAAGTATGAAAAAGATTTAAAAGAATGGCTCAAATTTGCCCAATTGTGACTAAATTCTGCCATAAAACAATATTCTCCAATGGGACAAAGCAAAATGATCTTGTTTTGAGAATACACAAGAAATCTCTCTTTTGGAATGAGAAATAAAGCAACAGTTCTGGAAATAAGACTAAATGGCTTCGTCCTGTTGGAGAATCTAGTTTAAATGCAGTCAGAATGTGTTTGTCTGACACTGACGCCTTTTTTGGCATAGACTGGTGTGTTCTTTCTAACTTCCCTGTACTTGACTGGGGATCACAGGGATCACAGGGATCACAGGGATCACAGGGATCACAGGGATCACAGGAGAACCAAAGAAGCTAAAAACAAACCGCTTCTGATGGTGAAAGTCATTCCAGTCTTTCAGAATGTGGTTTCAGATCGATCTTATTTTATCTTAGATTCTGTGGGTCTTAAAAATCTGTGAAAATCTTCAAAAACATCAGGCGGTCGATGAGTTAAGGTGACAAACACTGGATTCAAGCATTTATTACCTCATGTTGTATCATTTTTTGCAGTGTACTAAGTTAGCGATGTCAGGATCTTACTATGGTCTGGTGTAAAAGAATCAAATTATTATTATTATTTCTACTAAAACGACGAGCTGGACCTTCCTAAACAATTCGGGCGTTCTGCTCTCCCAAAATTTCATCCACTGAGCGGCGCTGTGATCAAAAAATGACACCGTTTGTTGCCCAGTTCACTTCCGGTTGATTTCATACAATGGCAAATATGGCTCCCAAAAACAACAAACGATTGACAGTTCCTGAATTGCGTGACAGGTTGAAGCGAAAGGGTATTTGCAGTGTGGGAAAACGAAAGGAGGAATTGTTGTTGCTAGTTCAACGAGCGGATGGTGTTTATGAAGATTTAGAAGAAGATAACAGCGAGCAGAGTGAACGAAAACGGCTGTGTGTGCGAGTGACAGATGGAAACAATGAGAATGAAGTTCAGCTAAGAGGGAAGAATGTGAAGTGGACGGATGATTTGCGCGATATGCCACTAGTTAGAGACGGGAATGTATTTGCATACAGAAAATGACGAAAACACTCAACCATTTAGAGAAAATGCGCCGGGCAGAGAGAACCGGAAGTTGCGAAGGCAAGTGTTACCCATAATGCAACGCAAAATTCAGTCGCTCCCCCGCCCATCGGATGGAATTTTGGGAGAGCAGAACGCCCGAATTACAGAAGCTTTGGAAAGTTGTAAAAACAAGATTTGATGAAACAATAAAAAGATTTGCTCCATTTTCTTAGGACATTTTTTTGGCCAAATCAAGTTAAAATCTACGGAATCCATCGTCGCTCTCGGGGAAAAGGCCGGAGACCCCGGGATTAAAGTTTGGGATTGTCAAAGTTCATGAGAGGCAGCGGCATCAAACCATCACTGCAAAAACAGATACAATCTTAAAATCAAGAGTTTTTATCTTAATCTGAGTTAATTCTGACTGAGTTCAAACCAAATTAAGTTTTGTTGCTTGAATAAAGTTTGTCATAAGATTATTTTAATAGTTTTAAGAGAATAAAACTTCATAATATTTTTTGAGAAAAATCTGAGCAGTGAGTTTTTAAGATTGTTTAGATAACAGTTTGTGATGCTGTATTTTAAGAAAACATGTAATAATTAAATAATACTTTAAATGTATGTTTTTAAACTAGAATTAAGTTGTTTGGGGCTAGTTTTATTTTATTAAATGTGCACTTTATTAATCCCCGTAGGGAACTTTGTCCTCTGCATTTGACCCATCCTGAAGCCACTAAGGCTTACGTCAGGAGCAGTGGTCGCCGTAGTAACAGCGCCCGGGAACCCATCTCCTGATCTTGATGCTCGGCTTGGACCGGAGCTGGAGGATTTAACCTAGTGAGCATGTTTTTAGTGGTAGGGGAAACCGGAGCAGACACGAGGAGAACATGCAAACTCCACTCAGAAAGGCCCTGTTCCGACCGGGATTCAAACCCAGGACCTTCTTGCTGAGAGGCAAGAGGGCTATCCACTCAGCACCCGTGCCGCCCACAGAATTATCATCTTATTATCAGAAATCCTGAGTCATATTTTCTTGTTCTATTGATCATTTTTATTATTTATTTTACCTATTTTCATATCTTTTTTCATGATTTTTTCTCATTCCAAGGAGACATTTCTGTATCTTTTATAAAACAAGATAATTTAACTTTGTACTGTTGGAGGTTCTTATTTTAAGGCACAGACAGAATGTGCTCAGATTCAACACATTTTGCCAAATTTCAGCACTTTTTAACTTAATTTTTCTTCATTTTTTGCAGCAATGATTTAAAGCGTTTCCAAAACCACCTGGACAGATGTGTATTCTTTAAACTTTGTGATTGTCTCTCGTTGAAAGCAGGGATTTGAAAAGTCACACCAGCGTCTCTGGAAGTGTGTCTGCATTGTCCGAGGAGAGAAGTTGCCAGATCTGCCATCGGTCGCGTTGCCACTCCTGCCACTCCGGACTCTGCGGCGCTAACTCTGCCCTCGACTGGCTCAGCGGCGGCGGTGGCGAGGAGGACGACGTGGAGGAGGTGGTGGGCGGGGCTAACTGTGGCGTGCTGAGGGAGGTGGCCAGTCGGTGGTGGGCGCTGTACGGCGGGGGCGGAGACTCTCCGTCGCTCACGTGGCTGCCTCGTTGCAGTTTGGGGGCGGGGCTTATGTTGACGGACAGGCGCGGACGACACACCCTGGACACGGGGGGGTGGCCCCTCGGGGCCGAGGCGGGGGGCTGTCTGCTGTCGCCGTGGAGACCGTCGAGCCCCTCCTGCGAGCTGCGGGAACTGCCCTCGGACATGTTTCCGTGGGAACCTGACAACGCAACACAACGTCAGCGAACAGCAGGAGGGAGTTTTAAAGACGACAAAAAAACATGGAGATCAGGGAATGTTCACTTCCATTAGAATCAGACACAGTGAGATAAAGACATCCCATTTTGCCAATTATATGTATTTGTAAAAAAGTTATAATAATGATAATGTACCATTTAAGTTATGGACCAGTTTTAAAAACTACACAATAATAATCAGAATCATTTTTGTTGCCATGTAAGTAACAGGAAGTCACACACTCGGAAAACACTTTGGCTCTCGGCGCAAACCAGACAAAAGTAGAGAAAGAATAAGGCATAAAAAACATTTGTAAAGTGTAAAATTGTTCTATAAAAATCCACACACACACATCCCATTTAGCCAATTGTACTGTATGTGTATGAATGAATGAATGAATATTTTATTTAAGTGTCGTACACATACAGTATGTGCCCAGCCTCAAGGGCTTATATGACACTATCAACAAAAAGGAAGATATAGCCACACCTGTGGACAAAGATATTACTGTCTCTCTGGATATTAAGTCCTTTGTCTCAGAGTCCAGGCCTTTTCAACAAAGTTTGCCACTGCAAAAAAATCTTTTTCAAATATCCAACACAGTCTATCACCATCAGAAAGCCAAAACAAATCAGGATTTTTACATTGAATCTTTGTGAACAATACCATTCTTAGGTCATTGTACATAGGACAGTAAAACAAAAAATGAAATTCATCCTCCACTACTCCCAGCTCACACAGAGCACACAGTCGACCATCCAGTGGAACCCCCTTGTAACGCCCCACCTCAACCTCAAGGGGCAGCACTCCTGCTCTGAGCTGAGCACACAGAGACCTCTGCCCTTTTCTCAGATTAGATTTTAAATACATTTCTGTGGAAAAACAGTGTGTAAGTGAAAATGTTCTACTTAAGAAGCCAATTTAGTTTTCCTGCCTTTTTCTGGACATGGGCTGTCACGCTTTAAAAGTAGCTTATTAGAAGTCTGTATTGACTCAAACTTGTCAGAGCTGAAGTTGGCTGAATGACAGATCTCAGCAGCTATAGTAGTGCCACAACCACAAAGGAATATGGCCTGTTTGGTAAACCAGGCATAGGGCCGCTCACACTGCCAGAGAGGACCACAGATGACCCGCGGGCCAGACTTTGGACATGTGGTACCTGTGAACGACTCGTCCCTGTGCGCCGGTTTGAGCGTCGAGTGCCACGTGCCCCAGATGTTTGCGTGTTCCTCTGATATCGTCTCTGTGAATGTTTTACACAGAACGTTTATTAGTAAAAACAAGTTTTTAGGGTGATCATAATTAACCAAATCTAGAATCTGATCTCTTTAGAAGTGTGTATATGTGTGTGTCTGTAGGTGTCTGTGTGTGTGTATGCATGCATGTGTGTATATGTGTGTACGTGTGTCTCTTTGTGTGTGTCTATGCATTCGTTTGTGTATGTATGCGTCTGTAGGTGCGTCTCTGTGTATGTGTGTGTGTATGTGTTGTATATATGTGTGTCTTTCTGTGTGTGTGTACGTGTTTCTCTTTGTGTGTGTCTATGCATGCGTGTGTGTATGTATGCGTCTGTAGGTGCGTCTGTGTGTGTATGTGTGTGTGTACCCTGGTCCATACCAGTGTCCCGGCCCCGGCTGTGTCCCGTCAGACCGCCCTGCTCTGGGATCCGGATCAGGGTCTCGCTGCCCGGACTGCTGCCCTCTCGCCGCTCGCTGAGGACGGGGGAGTTGTTGTCGTACGGTGAGACTTCGCCGCTGGACGCTTTGTTGGAGTCACTGGAGGAACGGCGCTCGCTCAGACTGAAGGCGTCCTCCGACGGCAGCAGGTCTGAGCTCCTGAGGACACACACGACGGAAGGTACAACATGGAGAATCAAAATGAAATAGAATGTTGCAGTTGTCTGTCGTGTCTTCGTATTTGTCCGTTCTTTTTGTTTTGCCTTTTTTGATTCTGATCGATGTCTGTAGGTGTTGGATGCAGAGGAAATGTTTTGTTCTAATTGACTCACTGAGAGGCTTTTCTGCGCAGAAGATAGTCCACCACATCCGGATCCGTGTCCAGTAAACTCATTAAGACTTCATTCTGCAGGTCCGGGGGGACCTAGACAACAAGATTTCAAAATTGTCAAAAAAAAAGACACAATAAAAGATAACCATTTGCCTTAGCAACCATATTAGCTTCATGAAGTTAAACTCTGTCAAAACAAATGCCCATGTCGTATGTTCAAATCAGCTTCTTCCTTATTTGGCACTATTTCTCTAACTCTATACTACTGCTAAGGGCACGGTCACATAGGTTTTTACAAGCGAACTGGGCCAAGTGGCCCGGATCGTCACCACAGCGGTGTGAAAACGGCCCGCGGTCACATGAACGTGTCCTCTGAACCGTGCCAGCGCAACCTTGCTGTAGTACGACGCCCGGTCCAGCTGGTGGCGCCAATAATAACTTCAGCGAATACCACGTTGTCCGAGTTGAGTTTCCGCTTCTCTTCCTGTTTACATTCTGCTACTGCAGCTACTGTAGCTAGCAGGCTCGAGCATGCAACGCGTTGTTTGCATCAGAGCAATGTGAACAAGTGTGACATGTCTTTCCCCACACGCAGCGGTGGAACACGTGTGTGTTGTCTGTGTGTGCCTTCATAGTAACAAGCGTAAAGCGCTGAGAATGAATGAATGAGAATGAAAGACAGAAAAGTGTGGAGTACGATAGCGACCGGAGCCGGAAGATATAAGTGTGTGTGTGTGTGTGTTCTGGCGATTAAATAAAGACTGATTTTTGAATGTCTGAAGTGTTTTTGCAATAGCACCACACTGAGAGCGAGGGTCAGGACAGAAGAGCCCAGGCTCGATAGCCGTGGCCTAAAGCTTTGATCTAATCCCTGAACGGGCCCTGGCCCACTTAAACCGGGCTTTAGGCTGTGCATGTGACCGCAGCCTAACACTATACTACTGCTAACACTGTTCTGACATAGAGATACAATTGTTATGATGTGTGAGATAATCACATTAGTTAGCTAGTTAGCGTTAGCTGCAGATGCCATATTGAGTCACATTGACCTGTTCCGCTGCATTAGCTTTATTTTGACACTGGTTTTTGATCTCTACATAATCCCCCTTTGTTCATTTTGAGTCACAGCCGACTGATGAAAAAGATTTTAAGTTTAAGAAATCCCAAAGTCCAATGTTACGAAACACAACTTTCTCCGTGTCGGTCGCAGAACCTGATCCGGACTGAGAGCTCATTTCTCACTCATCGAGCCTCTTCAAATACACATTAAAGCAAATAAAATCTCTCCTTTGGCTTCGTCCCAAAATGAGGGGGGGGGGGGGGGGGGGGGGGGCAGCTTACAACACAGTTGGGGTTTGGGTTTCGGACCTGGGATGACCCGCTCTGCTTGTCTCAACTGTTTATAAATCCTAGCAAAGAAGAAGGCCGCCAGCCAAAAGGATTTTCTGCTTGGTCGAATTATTTTATTATTGAGAGAAAATTAATGTCTCTGAGTTAAAAATCTGTGTCTTATTATGTTTTCGGAAGTGTAATGACTCTAATGATCAGGCTACAGCCTCTTATATTTACTGAAGATTTTTACCTTGAAAAGGTTTGATTCGTGTTGGAGTAAGTGCGGAACATATTAATGCAAAGAGACCCAGTTTAATACTAAAAATGTAAATAGAAAAGTAAACTGGGAAATGATAATGCAAAAACCAGGACTGTACCAACTGTGCATCTTTCTAGGGGTTTGGGGAAGTGCGATAGCTGACCTGCCATGTTAGCGTCTTTCTACACTGTACTATGTGGACAGTGACGGACTGTACTATGTGGGTAGTGACTGACTCCTCACCATGAAGAGGCTCTGGTAGCTGGTGATCATTTTCTGCAGGACGCCGATGACGGCGGTGCTCTCCTCGGCCCGTGCTGAACTCTGGAAGAAGCAAAGGCAAGTTTTTTTGTATAGCACGGTTCATACAAAAGGCATAAATAATGAAATACATGGTAAAAACATCACCTGCACGCTGAACTCTTTGTCCGAGTTCTTCAGTTTGTGCAGAAGGTTCGGTCCGAAGATGGTGGCCAGGTTCAGCGACGTCATCTTGTTCCCCGGGATCTGGAAATAGCGACAAGGTAAAGCGTAAAGGTTGGGTTCGTGTGACATCACAATGGTCCAAAGAGCCTTTCGTTTAACAGTGCGAGGAACAGCAGCTGGAAAACCTTTCTCGTTAACAAAAATAAGGGGCAAAAGTCAAGTTTATAGTCTCAGTTTGAAGCTAAATTCTCAAATTCCTGGACCAATCTACAAGGAATAAAAACTGTCAGCTCACATCAACTACTGTCTGATTATTTTCTCATAAAAAACTTGTGACACTATAAAAAAAAAAACAGACATAAAAACAAAATCATCTTTGTTCAAATAAGAATAAAAAGGCATCTTTCCCATAAAGTTGGATTGGCACTTTCCCTTCACTTCTATTATGTAAAATGTATCTTAAAAACTAAAATATTTGACCTTGTTTAACCACTTATTTTAATCCTTACTTTTGCAGTGTTAGAGGATTACAGAAAGAAGAAACATGGGGTGTATTCTTGAGTGTCACCAGCAGGGGGCATTGTGGGGTGTCAGGTTATATACAGAGAGAGGCTCCAGATATTTACACTGCTGAGAATAATCCTTCATTTTGAAAGAAAAGAGTATGTTTCAGATAAAACTAATGTAGAGCAGGTTTAATAATCTCTAAATACTTTCTAAAATCTAAAACTATAAAAATATCACAGAAAGAATTTTAGAAAAGTAAAATAATGTGAACCTGCTGTCTTCATTATATTCAAAAACATCTTTTGCATCCTGTGAGTCACTATTTGACTATTTTTTCACTTTTCTATCTGTTAATTGTGATTTGAAAGTTAAATACCCCAGCTTTAATCTCACAACAGGCAGAATAAGTGCCTTGATTGTAGGTGCATCGGAACACAAATAACAGATGGAGAGAGACAGAGAGACAGATAGAGAAAGAGATAGCAAGAGAGATAGAGAGGAAGGGAAAGAAATATAGATAGACAGAAAGAGAGAGAGAGAGAGGGAGCGAGAGAGAGACAGAGATAGATATATATATATATATATATATATATATAGAGAGAGAGAGAGAGAGAGAACGAGAGATAGAGAGGAAGGAAGAGAGTTACAGAGAGAGAGTGCAAGAAACATATAGAGAGGAAGGTAGAGAGAGATAGAGTGCGAGAGAGCAATAGATAGAGAGAGACAGACAGACAGAGAGAGAGACAGACAGACAGACAGAGAGAGAGATAGAGAGAGAGACAGACACAGAGAGAGAGAGAGAGACAGACAGACAGACAGAGAGAGAGAGAGACAGAGAGAGAGACAGACACAGAGAGAGACAGACAGACAGACAGACAGACAGACAGACAGAGAGACAGAGAGAGAGAGAGAGAGAGATAGAGAGAGAGACAGACAGAGAGAGAGAGAGACAGAGAGAGAGAGAGACAGCCAGACAGACAGAGAGAGAGAGACAGACAAACAGAGAGAGAGAGAGACAGCCAGACAGACAGAGAGAGAGACAGACAGACAGAGAGAGAGACAGACAGACAGACAGAGAGAGAGACAGACAGACAGAGAGAGAGACAGACAGACAGAGAGACAGCCAGACAGACAGAGAGAGAGAGAGACAGCCAGACAGACAGAGAGAGAGAGACAGACAAACCGAGAGAGAGAGACAGACAGAGAGACAGACAGACAGATCCAGATAGATAGCTAGATAGACAGATGGATAGAGAGATAGACAGAGACACACTTTCAGAAATGCATGTGTCCAGACGCAGAAACACATCCTTTCACACAAACAAATAAATACATCATTCTTAAAGTTACACAAATTACCAAAAAAGCAAGAAAATCCACGATTCTAAAGCACAAAACAACATCAGAGTCAGAGCTTGAGCCCAGGACCTGCCGCCGTTTCCAGCGCACTCAAAAGAAATAATAAAAACGTCAGTAATAATTTAGGTGGATTTGAAAGTGCACAGCTCATTTGCAAAGACAAACACACGTCTCTGTTCCAAGAAATCCTTCCCATGATGCCGAGCGCTCACGGAAATATTGTGGTTTTTATCTGCATGGAGGAAAACACTCTCAAATTCATTGTTTCTGAAAAATCAACAAAGAAGACAAAATATTCCAAGAGAAGCGATAACGTCTTCTCGGCCCGTCACTGTCGGTCTATGTTTCAAACTACTACACTGCAAAAAGTGAAAACATATGTAAGGGATAATGTGTAGTGCGCAGGTCATTATCAGGGCGCCCTGTCAGAACTTATTTTCTGATAATGACCTGCGTACTGTACATTATCCCGCTTTGTACAAACAGAACACACACAAAAAACTTCAGTCCACTTTTAGGAATGCCGAAAGGTTTATTTAATGGCTGCAAATAAAATAGTTCCCAAAGGTTTTCCTGTGGCTATGCTAGCAACAGTTAGGCCCCGTCCCAATTCTCAACCTTGCCCCAGATATTGCACGTGCCCGCGGGGGTTGAAGGGTGTCCCAATACTTAGGGAGAAGAGGCGAGGGCCTTGACACCCCTAAAAACCACCCTTAAGCGCAAGTGAAGTCTGGAGATCATTCGCGATCCCATGATGCATTACGATAGCTGTTGGTAAATCAGCTGTCGGGCAAAGCCGTGCTACAATGAAAGAAAACAACATGAAACACCCGGGCGCAAGTTGGTGCGGAACATGAGGAAGCTCCGAAGCGTGTGCGAGTCATTCAGAGTTTTTAATGCGTGTGTTGTTGCGTGTGTGGTGACGTTCGCTCCCGAAGCGGCTTCAGTGTGTGGCGTTCACTGAGGCTTCAGAGACGTGTTGCATGTTATTATTATAGATCCACGATGTAATTTGGAGCACCGCTTTGACAGATTTCTTTGTGATCCGCGGGACCGTCTCTGTGTGGTACGTGCAGTGGGGGCGGTTCCCGGCTCAGAAGTGGCCAAAATGAATACCACCCCGGGCCGATGGGGGTGGACCCGGAATGAGAATTAGCCAATGCTAACATATAGCATTAGCTGACCTCTTGAAAACGTCTTTACAGGATGGTCCAAAAGTTGGCTCTTGGCCAAAGCTCCGTTCCACATGTGTGTCAATGCTGAGGGGGTGAATTTCTTTGGTCCACTCTAGTTTACTTGCTGTGAATTTTTTAAGTCTCTCGTTCAGATGAATGGAGCTGCTCCGGCTGACGCATGCGCAGATGCGTTTTTTCACTATTTTCTTGTGGGCGGGACCACTTGCGGCCATTTTGGATGCTCCAGTAGAGCAGAATTTTTGGCCCATTAGTTTGAACGGCGGAGATAGGCGTGACTCTGTGCGTTAATATATACAGTCTATGGGTACCTCTCTGTGCACGTACGTGTATGTACATGTGTCTGTCTGTGTGTGTTTTTACATTTGTATGTCTGTGTGCGTGTGTGTGTCTGCCTCTGTGTGTGTACATGTGTGTGCGTGATGTGCAGCAGTTCTTCATATGAAATAGAATTAAAAACGTATCATTTTAATAAATACTGTGTTTCATAAAGTCATATCTGTGTCAGATCTTATGTATATATACTCCATAAATGGAGTGTTTTTATTTTATTTTATTTTGGGAAAGCCCCTTGAGATGCAACAGCTCATTTTCAATTGTTTTTAATTAATTAATTTTTATTTATATACCGCCTTTTCACTGCACATCGGAGTCTCAAAGCGGTTTACAATTGTTATTTTTGGGAGTGGGGGTGCCAGTACAGGAGGCACATGCCAGACCGATTGCACATATTTTTAGTGGTAGGGGAAACCGGAGCACCCGGAGGAAACCTACGCAGACACAGGGAGAACATGCAAACTCCACTCAGAAAGGCCCTGGTCCAACCGGGATTCGAACCCAGGACCTTCTTGCTGAGAGGCAAGAGTGCTATCCACTCAGCCACCGTGCCACCGAGAAGATTTTCAAGAAGGTCCCATGAACATAAAACAAACACAATACACACAATTAACATTTATACATTTAACACACACAGGACAGATCCCACTCCACCTCCTACAATAATAACACACTCAGAAAACTGTATTCAACAGTCAGATACGGGCCATGCACACAGCAGCTGGTAGGAGAATACAACTTAAAATGTACATACAGGTATAACAAAATAAAAACAAACAGCTAGTTACATGACCAGGGAGTGAAAGATGTCCAGATAGTTCTGATTTAAACGAGCCAAAAAAGGTTGAGGTTCTTCTGTATGTGGGTAACTTATTCCAATCAGATGGAGCCAATTTTTCCAATCAAAAAGGATCCAATAAGACTCTCCGGCCTTATTGGACGAGCACGTATTGCCAGAATGATTGACAGCTGGGAGGACCAATAGTCTTGAGTACATTCTGACACATTTTAATATTTAAATATCAGAGTTTGGAGCAACAACAAAAGAAAATGGGAGACGGCCTTTGTAAACATTGGTGGTTGGATGGGAGAAATCGTGGACAAAACTGGAGAAATAAGCAAAAATCTCTTGTGTGCTTGGTAATGGTAATAATGGCTTGAATCAAGTGTTTTTTAAATCTTAATTAAACAAGATTTCCCAATGAGACAAGGTAATTTAGGGATTGTGTTGCTATATTTTCTCGTTCTAAGGGAGACATTTCTTCAGGCAGTCAGAATGTGCCCAAAAGATGACACATGTAGCCAAATTGTTCATTGATTTTTGCAGTGTACCATTACTAAACTGTCTAATTCTCACCCAAAACAGTCCAAACAGCAGTGGAATTTGTGCAATGACGTGATTCTTTTTTTTCCCACAGCTGACCATTCTAACCCACACATTCCCTGCAGTGATAGATGCAGCCGTCATTCCAGGCCACTCCCCTCAGGTCGCTCCCATCCACTCCCCGTCCCGGAGGAGTCATGGAAGTGAGGAGGCCAAAACACACTCCAGCCCGGTCCTTCTGGCTTCAGGAATGCTAAAAAGTTCTCATCAGATGTAACGGTGCGAAGAGCGAACACGATTAAACTGGACCAAAGTTTTAGAATGATTTATCTACTTGGCATGGATGTGTTTCTGCTTTGACTGGATCTATCCATCTACCTGTCTGTCTGTCTATCTATGGATCTATCTATCTATCTATGTATATGTCTGTCTGTCGGTCTATCTATCTATCTATCTATCTGTCTGTCCAAAGACGGCTGCATCTGGGATATAGCATCAAGCTAATTTACAAAAGTAGTCATGCAAACATACACAGTACATACAAGTCCTATATATATATACTGTATCAGAAAATAGTGCAACTTTTGGGCTTAAATGGGTTCAAAATACAAGAATAAATGCAATTTTGCGATTGCGTTTTAAGACTTTGCCAGATGTTTTCATAGCTTATCCAGTTGTCTGTATTTATACACTGTATTTATGACCACACAAGCCGTCTGAGGCGATATGAGAGAGAGAGAGAGCGGCCAACAATCACTGGAATCTTTTTCACACAGTCCGACAAGACCGAGAGGACGATGGAACTGAATAAACAACATCATACTTTGCAGCTTCAGCCTCAGAGCTCCGTTACATCAGACTCTTCCACATTCATTGCATATAAAAGTTAGCAGTGATAGAACCTACAGAGTGGAGTCTGAGCTGGAGTCTGAGCTGGAGTCTAAACTGGAGTCTGAGCTGGAGTCTAAGCTGGAGTCTAAGCTGGAGTCTGAGCTGGAGTCTAAGCTGGAGTCTGAGCTGGAGTCTGAGCTGGAGTCTGAGCTGGAGTCTAAGCTGGAGTCTAAGCTGGAGTCTGAGCTGGAGTCTGAGCTGGAGTCTAAACTGGAGTCTAAACTGGAGTCTAAGCTGGAGTCTAAGCTGGAGTCTAAGCTGGAGTCTAAGCTGGAGTCTAAGCTGGAGTCTGAGCTGGAGTCTGAGCTGGAGTCTAAGCTGGAGTCTAAACTGGAGTCTAAGCTGGAGTCTAAGCTGGAGTCTAAACTGGAGTCTAAGCTGGAGTCTAAGCTGGAGTCTAAGCTGGAGTCTAAGCTGGAGTCTGAGCTGGAGTCTAAGCTGGAGTCTGAGCTGGAGTCTGAGCTGGAGTCTGAGCTGGAGTCTAAGCTGGAGTCTAAGCTGGAGTCTGAGCTGGAGTCTGAGCTGGAGTCTAAACTGGAGTCTAAACTGGAGTCTAAGCTGGAGTCTAAGCTGGAGTCTAAGCTGGAGTCTAAGCTGGAGTCTAAGCTGGAGTCTAAGCTGGAGTCTGAGCTGGAGTCTGAGCTGGAGTCTAAGCTGGAGTCTAAGCTGGAGTCTGAGCTGGAGTCTAAGCTGGAGTCTAAGATGGAGTCTAAGCTGGAGTCTGAGCTGGAGTCTAAACTGGAGTCTAAGCTGGAGTCTAAGCTGGAGTCTAAGCTGGAGTCTGAGCTGGAGTCTGAGCTGGAGTCTAAGATGGAGTCTAAACTGGAGTCTGAGCTGGAGTCTAAGCGGAGTCTAAACTGGAGTCTAAACTGGAGTCTAAGCTGGAGTCTAAGCTGGAGTCTAAGCTGGAGTCTAATCTGGAGTCTAAGCTGGAGTCTAAGCTGGAGTCTAAGCTGGAGTCTGAGCTGGAGTCTGAGCTGGAGTCTGAGCTGGAGTCTAAGCTGGAGTCTAAGCTGGAGTCTGAGCTGGAGTCTAAGCTGGAGTCTAAACTGGAGTCTAAACTGGAGTCTAAGCTGGAGTCTAAGCTGGAGTCTAAGCTGGAGTCTAATCTGGAGTCTAAGCTGGAGTCTAAGCTGGAGTCTAAGCTGGAGTCTGAGCTGGAGTCTGAGCTGGAGTCTGAGCTGGAGTCTAAGCTGGAGTCTAAGCTGGAGTCTAAGCTGGAGTCTGAGCTGGAGTCTAAACTGGAGTCTAAGCTGGAGTCTAAGCTGGAGTCTAAGCTGGAGTCTAAGCTGGAGTCTGAGCTGGAGTCTGAGCTGGAGTCTAAACTGGAGTCTAAACTGGAGTCTAAACTGGAGTCTGAGCTGGAGTCTGAGCTGGAGTCTAAACTGGAGTCTAAGCTGGAGTCTAAGCTGGAGTCTAAGCTGGAGTCTAAGATGGAGTCTAAACTGGAGTCTGAGCTGGAGTCTGAGCTGGAGTCTAAACTGGAGTCTAAACTGGAGTCTAATCTGGAGTCTAATCTGGAGTCTAAGCTGGAGTCTGAGCTGGAGTCTAAGCTGGAGTCTGAGCTGGAGTCTAAGCTGGAGTCTAAGCTGGAGTCTGAGCTCGAGTCTAAGCTGGAGTCTAAGATGGAGTCTGAGCTGGAGTCTGAGCTGGAGTCTAAGCTGGAGTCTAAGATGGAGTCTAAGCTGGAGTCTGAGCTGGAGTCTAATCTGGAGTCTAAACTGGAGTCTAAGCTGGAGTCTAAACTGGAGTCTAAGCTGGAGTCTAAGCTGGAGTCTAAGCTGGAGTCTAAGCTGGAGTCTAAACTGGAGTCTAAACTGGAGTCTGAGCTGGAGTCTAAACTGGAGTCTAAACTGGAGTCTAATCTGGAGTCTAAGATGGAGTCTGAGCTGGAGTCTAATCTGGAGTCTAAACTGGAGTCTCAACTGGAGTCTAAGCTGGAGTCTAATCTGGAGTCTAAACTGGAGTCTAATCTGGAGTCTAATCTGGAGTCTAAGGGAGTCTGAGCTGGAGTCTAAGCTGGAGTCTGAGCTGGAGTCTAAACTGGAGTCTAAACTGGAGTCTAATCTGGAGTCTAAGCTGGAGTCTAAGCTGGAGTCTAAGCTGGAGTCTGAGCTGGAGTCTAAGCTGGAGTCTGAGCTGGAGTCTAAGCTGGAGTCTGAGCTGGAGTCTAAGCTGGAGTCTAAGCTGGAGTCTGAGCTGGAGTCTAAGCTGGAGTCTAACATGGAGTCTAAGCTGGAGTCTAAGCTGGAGTCTAAGCTGGAGTCTGAGCTGGAGTCTGAGCTGGAGTCTAAGCTGGAGTCTAAAATGGAGTCTAAGCTGGAGTCTAAGATGGAGTCTAAGCTGGAGTCTGAGCTGGAGTCTAATCTGGAGTCTAAAATGGAGTCTAAACTGGAGTCTAAACTGGAGTCTAAGCTGGAGTCTAAGCTGGAGTCTAAGCTGGAGTCTAAACTGGAGTCTAAACTGGAGTCTAAACTGGAGTCTGAGCTGGAGTCTAAACTGGAGTCTAAACTGGAGTCTAATCTGGAGTCTAAGATGGAGTCTGAGCTGGAGTCTAAGCTGGAGTCTGAGCTGGAGTCTAAGCTGGAGTCTAAACTGGAGTCTAATCTGGAGTCTAATCTGGAGTCTAAGCTGGAGTCTGAGCTGGAGTCTAAGCTGGAGTCTAAACTGGAGTCTAAGCTGGAGTCTGAGCTGGAGTCTAAGCTGGAGTCTAAGATGGAGTCTAAGCTGGAGCTGAGCTGGAGTCTAAGCTGGAGTCTGAGCTAGCTGGAGTCTAAGCTGGAGTCTAAGCTGGAGTCTAAGCTGGAGTCTGGCTGGAGTCTAGCTGGAGTCTAGCTGGAGTCTAAGCTGGAGTCTAAGCTGGAGTCTAAGCTGGAGTCTAAGCTGGAGTCTAAGCTGGAGTCTAAGCTGGAGTCTAAGCTGGAGTCAAGATGGAGTCTAAGCTGGAGTCTGAGCTGGAGTCTAAACTGGAGTCTAAGCTGGAGTCTAAGCTGGAGTCTAAGCTGGAGTCTGAGCTGGAGCTCTGAGCTGGAGTCTAAACTGGAGTCTAAACTGGAGTCTAAGCTGGAGTCTAATCTGGAGTCTAATCTGGAGTCTAATCTGGAGTCTAAACTGGAGTCTAAGCTGGAGTCTGAGCTGGAGTCTAAGCTGGAGTCTAAGCTGGAGTCTAAGCTGGAGTCTGAGCTGGAGTCTGAGCTGGAGTCTAAGCTGGAGTCTGAGCTGGAGTCTGAGCTGGAGTCTAAGCTGGAGTCTGAGCTGGAGTCTAAGCTGGAGTCTAAGCTGGAGTCTAAGCTGGAGTCTGAGCTGGAGTCTAAGCTGGAGTCTGAGCTGGAGTCTAAGCTGGAGTCTAAGCTGGAGTCTGAGCTGGAGTCTAAGCTGGAGTCTAAACTGGAGTCTAAGCTGGAGTCTAAACTGGAGTCTAAGCTGGAGTCTAATCTGGAGTCTAATCTGGAGTCTAATCTGGAGTCTAAACTGGAGTCTAAGCTGGAGTCTGAGCTGGAGTCTAAGCTGGAGTCTAAGCTGGAGTCTAAACTGGAGTCTAAGCTGGAGTCTAAGCTGGAGTCTGAGCTGGAGTCTGAGCTGGAGTCTAAGCTGGAGTCTGAGCTGGAGTCTGAGCTGGAGTCTAAGCTGGAGTCTGAGCTGGAGTCTGAGCTGGGAGTCTAAGCTGGAGTCCGGGCCAGAGTCTGAGCTGGAGTCTAAGCTGGAGTCCGGGCCAGAGTCTGAGCTGGAGTCTGAGCTGGAGTCCGGGCCAGAGTCTGAGCTGGAGTCTGAGCTGGAGTCCGGGCCAGAGTCTGTGTTGTGCTGATGCTGTGGCTTTGAATCTCAGGCCAAATATTTGCTCTGGATCTGCTTAACCCAGATGTGTTTTTAATTATGACCCTCTCACACTTTCTGCAGAACATCAACAATAAACAAAACCCCGGAGGTTCATTTCGGTGCAAGTCGCAGAGTGCCAGTGCTGGATCTCCTTTCAGCACAAGACCAGGTTTCCAACACAAACCAGTAGATAAGTGTTGGAGAAGGAAAGCACTCTGAGTTATGGATTAAAGAAAGCCTAACGCTGAACGCATTTGTATGTGGCCCCTGCGGTCCCTTCCCTCAGAGCTACGTACCACCCAAGAGCCACTCATCGCTCCTCTTTCAGCGGGGGCTTCAGGCAATGTGGAGTTAAGTGTCTTGCCCAGGGACACAACAACAGCAGATATCGGTGGGAGACGGGGGAGTAAGAGAATGCAGATGTCTGAATATGTATCTTTCTGTATGTTGTGTCTTTGGACCAGCCCAGGTGCTCATATGTCCCAGTAAGTAACCACAGGATGTATCGGGTTTTTAATGATTAAAACTGGGGAATCTTGGAACTCTTAAATTCATTTCACTTGTAGCTATCTGTGACAACGCCTCTGGCACATCACGCACTCACACGAAGTCACTGCTCGTTCACACGCTAAAGTTAATGAGAATGGATTAGCCTAAAGCGTCATAAAGTGAGCAGAGAACGTGTCGCTTTGTGCCCAGAAGAGAATCAGATACCTTTTTAACATATTTGCTGCTGCCTGTTCTGTGTCTGTTACATAATCACAACTTTTATATCGGCGGTGGAAACGTGACATAATTAACAAAGTACTAGAGATCCGACTAAAGTGAAGGTCAGTTATTCTTCACTGTCTGAACATGAAGGAAGTGCAAGAACCCAGAAAATAACATCCAAACTCAAGTCAAATTAAAAGGATTTGTCAAAACAGAAAAGTATGGAAAGACAAATAATGATGATACTTTCGATCCAAACAGATGTCATGTTTTTAATAATGGTCCCCGACAACAATGACAATGACACACTCCAGTATTAGAGGGTCCTGTTGTCAAAAATATGAATTATTTTCCCAAAACACTTCAAAACAATCTAAAACATGAGGTAATTTGTGCTTGAATTGAGGAGATTACAGATTGAAACGATTGGATCTGAGTTTACCGTGACGTATGTAATGAGCCCGAGTGAGTGAAGCATTTAGCCTAGCTTTAGCATTTAGCCTAGCTTTAGCCATCTCCTTTGCCACTAACGGAGCCCGTGGGGAGTAGAGCCACAACATCTTTGCTTCAATGACATTTACTAAACATTCCTCTTGCTCCGGCTTCAGTTTCTTGATATTTGGATTGAACCAGAACAGATTATTTTACTATCGCATTCTCCGACAAACTACAACCAGAAAATTCAGCACAAACTAATGACGTCACTGACACCGACCTACAACACCCGCCTCCCCCGCTCTCTGATTGGTCGGATGGGATTCAACCGATGTAAATGCAAACACAGGGACCAGACTAGAGTTTCGCTTTTCAGCCCGAGCCCGAGCAGGCCCGAGGCCCGACCTGAGTTCGGGCCGGGCTCGGGCCTCATTTGGCGCTCAGCTGTCGGGTTCGTGCCGGGCTCGGGCTTCTTTTTTTAAATATATGTTTTTTTGTATTATTATTATTATTATTTTTAAATGATTTTTATACATAATGATATGCATATATATATATATATATATATATATATATATATATATATATATATATATATATATATATATATTAATAACAATGTCCGTTGATTGACAACAAGTTATTAAAAAAAGTTAATATATTAATGACACCGTAACCAGCGTGTCCTACAGCAGCAGCGAGCCGTGAACGCATCATCCCCGTGTCTCCTGCTGCTGTGGTCAACAGCGAACAGGAACAATAGTAGAAATGGATCAAGTGGAGACAAAACAAATTCAAAAGTGGAGACTAAACTTGCAATTGGAAGGTGAGTGCGTACAACGGGAAATCAGATGTGTCGGGTTCTGTCGGGTTCGGGCCTGTTATACAGCGTTCATTGGTCGGGCTTATACGGGCTCGGGCTTCATTTTTCAGGCCCGAACGAAACTCTAGACCAGACCCAGACGTTACATGCAGGGAAATGATTGTTGACCAGAGTTTATGGATGGTTAAGGCCAGGATACTACATTTCAGCAGTTTTTGACTTATTTTCCAGTTTACACGTCACAGTGACCTCCAAACTTCGTTCTCACCTCTCGTCCGTCTTTGTCGATCTGGTCCTGGGCGTGGTCCGCCACCGTGGACAGGAACTCCAGCAGCCGGTGCAGAGTGTCACTGTTGCATGCTGGGAGCAGGTGGATCAGGAGCTGGGCCACATTCTGCTGATCCTCTTTATCCAGCACTGTAAAAACACAAAAACGCAAAATCAAAGCCATGACAAAAACCAGAGGAGAGAAATCCGGGAGGACGGCGTACGTGTGGTGTGTATAAACGCCGTGTAGAGCTCTTTGGTCAGTAACGGGTCGGGCATGTCTCGCAGGAACTCTTTGAGCAGAGCGGCGACATCGTGGACGCTGTAGTCTTCGTCCAGTTGCACGTCCACGCCACGGTCAAACTCCTCACGAAGCTGGAAGATAAATGTGGTATTAGCACACTGCAAAAAAATTATATAAAATGGCCTGATTTTAGCTTGGATCGGGGTTTTTGTCTTGATCTGAGTTGATTCTGACTGTGTTAAAACTAGATTCAGGTAAAAAACATTATTTATTTATTATTATTTAAAGAACTGTTTCTTTATTTTCTCATTCCAAGGAAGATATGTACTGTTTCTTATTAAAACAATATCATTTTGCTTTGTCCCGTTGGTAAATCCTGTTTTAAGGCTCAGTCAGAATGTGCTCAGATTAAGACACATTTAGCTATTTTTGACTCACTTTTTGCAGTGTACCAAATTCTTATCAAATCTACACTGCAAAAAGTGATGAAAAGTTTTCCAAAAATGAAAACATTGTCCAAAAAAAAAAAGCAGTCAGTTTAAGAGGAGAATGTATTGAAGAGTACACTGCAAAAAGTAATGGAAAATAAAAATAAGTCAAAAAAATGCTAAAATTTGACCCAATTTGTCTTAATCTGAGCACATTCTGACTGAGCCTTAAAACTAGATTCTCCGATGGGACAAAATAAAATGCTCTTGTTTTAAAAATATACAGAAATGTCTTCTTTGGAATGAGGAAATAAAGCAACCATTGTTTGAACACAGTCAGAATGTGCCAGATTAAGACAAAAACCAGTCAAATCAAGCAACTATCACCTCATATTTCATCATTTTTTGCAGTGTAGCATATTAGGTTTCCTTCTGTAAGCAGCCTGGTTCACTTCGCGGTCGAGATGTGGAAACGGCGCAGAAACTGGTCGAACGGGGCGAGTCTAATCCCAAAGATCTGACCTTCCTTTGGGCGATTACCAAAGTAAACACAGTCCAGGTACGAAAAGAGCAATTGTTCTTTATGACGAGGGCTGTGTATGTGTTTGCAGCCGTGGGTCAAGAACCAAATACACAATATTAGAAAAGAGGAATCAGAGGCTTTGTGCATCCACCAAACAGTACAAACAATTATCAACAACGTCGCTCACTGTCAGAGAGATTAGCATTTATTTCAGAGTCAATAAATACACAAGAAATAGGGATAGTGTGGATAAAATCAAATAAAAAAACAAAACGAACAATACAAATTTAAATCACCCGTGAAAAAAAGAAAAAAAAGAAAAAATGTTAAAAACTGCATCACATTCGTTAAAATAGACAGAACTAAAGAAAACGTGACTAATTTATAAAACAGTTTTGTTCTAGCAACTTCTAATGAACAGAGCAGAGATTTGGAAACCTAAAAAACATAATATATCTGTTTTTTGAAATGTAATTTTTGTCCTTTTTCTACTTTTGTACCTTTAGTTTTAGTCTTGTTTCTGACTCCTTCATTCTTGCATGTCCAAACTAAGGCCCACGAGCCGATTGCGGCCCTCTCTATAATCGTACGTGGTCCTCTGCTTTGCTAACATTGAGAATTCTTTGAGATCATAAACACAAGTTCTCAGTGTCATCCAGCCAGCTTCAGCTCAGTCAATATAGACCCACAATCCCATCCTTGAAAAGCTCAGACTTTATTTGTCATCAAGCCAACTTCAGCTCTGTCATAGCTAATGATAAACCTCAGATCAGCCTGAATCCAGTCAGAGCCATTTGTGTAATCCAGGTTGTTGGCCCGAGGACAAGTCTGTTGAACTAAAGTGGCCCTCTGACTAAGACTCTCTCTCTTGGTCTTAATAAGTCGACATTTATGGTCTTATGGTCTCTGTGTTTTTTATCTTTGCATTTCTTGTCTTTGGGTTTGTTCTCACTGAAGGCCAAAAATTTGATTTTAATAAACAGAATATATGTGTTTTTATGTTTTCAAATATCTCCTCTGTCCTTTAGAATTTGCTAGAACAAAACTGT